CTCCGTTAAATTTCAGTGGCAACGAGCGGAACGTGCCTAAGGTACCTTTCCTTACTTTTCTTTTTTCTTTTTTCTCTTCCTTCCTCCTCCTCCCCCCCCCCCTCCCTCGTCCCTCTTTCCTCTCTATGTTTACCATTACTTAAGGCACTTTTCCTTCGGACATCGTAGTATCGCGCGTGCGCGAACCCGTGAACGTTTACTTAGGATTCTCTGCAATTTACACTCGACAAACATCAAACAATCGCGCGCGCATACACCACCGAAGGAAGAATCTTCGAAAGTAGGCAAGCAACCGTAAATATTGATATACTTTCATTTATATCAAGTATCATCCGTCCGGCGGTTTGCGTCGAATTAGATATTCCCAAAGCCACCGGATACTTTTTCTTCTCTCCGATCGGCCTAATTCTTGGAAACTCTGAGAGCTGGCTCGAGCGAAATCGGTAAATTTGACTTTCGCGAGTGCGGTCTCGATGGAACAACTCTCGGGGATAAAGTGTAGAGGAAGAGAGATAGGTGATAAAAGGAGGACGAGGAAGCTTTTCTTTTTTTGTTTTTTATTTTCTTCCGCTCTTCCGAGAAGAGAAGAGAAACGAACGATCGAGGATGACGGGAGCTGGCTTACTCTTGAGTTTTCCCCTATTCCTTCTCCCTCCTTTGCGCGAGCACTCGAGAAGCAAAAGCGTCGGAAAACAAACCGGCGAGAGATAAAATGAATTTTTCAACAAGATCCGAGAGAACTCGCGCGGCACTTTTAACGAGCTTTCCTCGCTCCAACGTATCTCCATCGAAACCTCTCTGTAAGCGGGACGTAACTGGGACTCCCGCTAGCTTTGCCCTTCTCGTAGATGAGATTATCGGAGGCTTTTCGATGGATCCATCCAAATAATAGTTCGTCTTTGTTATGAGACTCGCCGACGAAGAACCGATAGATTCGTCTTTTTCGCAATGGACAACTTCTTGCCGCTCGTATCGTGTGTACTCGTTCGGTTTGAGTCTCCCGATCCGTCGATCCTCCTTCATTCTCCTGAACGTTCTCCTTCGCCGACGTGCTACGTAGATGATAACGATCTCGTGAGAGATTAGAGAAGAGGGATAAAAGAGGAAAAGAAAATAAAGGTAAGAGAATGTGAAGCGTCTAGTCTCGTCGTTAACGATCTTCCCTCGTCCACTTACTTTCCCCCTTCGTTAATTTTTCTATCCTCGGAACGGTCGGAGGACTTCTTACACTCGATTACGAACATCGAAGCGAAGCCAACGTTGTCGTTGTCTCTCTCGAGTCGATTTTTATCTTCTTCGACGTCGAGACGCTTCCTCGTATCCTCCTCTACGTTCTCCCTTTTCGTCTCTTGCGACGCTTTCTCACTGCGAACATTATCGATTCGTCAGATTTTATATCGTCGATCGTTAATCTCTTCCAATTATAGATAGGTATACCTATTTAAGAGGAAAAAGGCCCGTTTGTTCGTCGTCCATCTTCCACCGACGTCAGTCGTGTCCGAATGAACTTTCCTCAGAAGTTCCCGTTCTCTCTCTTCGTATCTTTTCACTTCCGCCGCTATCATCGATCGAATAAGCCCGTACAAATTCTCTTCTTCCCTTTCGTAGCTTTTGACCACCCTAAACAATTTATTCTCTTACTTCCTGAAGTCCTTTATTTCTCGAACGAGGGACTTACGGTTCCCTCGGCGAAATCGTTTCTACTCCTTGCCGATTCGTCGTCTCTCTCTCTTCTGTCTCGAGTTCTTCTTCTAAATTCATCGAAATGACATTTACGTCGGTGGGATTGGTCGTTTCTTCGACGTACTCGGTCATTACGCTTCGTTCCTCGTGGTTAATGATCTTCGGATTGCTCTCTTCGGAAGCAATCTCGAAGAAATCCTTCGGTTCTGCTTCCTCCGTCGTTAAATTTGTTAAAACGCTTTGCTCCTTGCCTTCTATATCCTTCAAAGACAATTCACGCTTCAATTGCTCGACTATGAGGTCCAAACTCATTTTCGCCTGGACGCTCGCGCTATCCATCAAATTCTTTCTCTGAGTTTGCCGTTTTCTCGAGTCGACCTCGGATTCGTTATCTTCGAAGGTTTGCGTTCTGAAAGCAAAAGTAATGCCTGAATCGTTCTGATTGTATTCGTCTTTCCTACGAGAAAGGGTATACTTTTAAACGCGTCGAATATTTTTCACGATTGAAAGAAGTAGCTTCGCTACCATCAAAATCAAATTACATTTTCGTATTCGTTAAATCGACTGAAATTGAATTCCCCGAAACAGTTACTCTTGGAAAATCGAGACGTCTTATTAATAACAACGTTGCTTGTACGAATGTCGACTAAAGTCCTTTACCGATATCGAAAATATAGTTCAATCGTTCGACGTACTTGTATAGTCGAGGACACCTCGATCCCATGATCCTGTCTCGTTGATTCAAATTCCTTTGAAATCTTTTCCTTTCCTTCCAGGAGTATTCGTCGAATCGTACATAAGGATTTGAATAGGGTGAAGGTGCTACGAGCTTGCCGAAGATATCGAAGATAAGACGTCGTAGGAAAATAAACGTAAAAAGACCGTGGATCAGTATTGGGATCGACAGATCAAAAGCTAAGAAAGATACCGTCAACGACATAATAAAGAAATTTTTAGCTCCGTCGCTTTCAGCGAGCTCGAACTATCTACTCTCATGATACCGACAATTTTTTTTATCAATTTTTCCAACTCTACAAAGATTTGCCTTTTCCTGTCTTTTCTTCTTTTTCCTTTTTTTTTCTTGTTTTCTTTTTTCTTTTTTTTTTTTTTTTTTTTTCTTTTTTTTTTTCTTCTTCCTTCTTCCTTTTTAGAGGTTAACCAAATGTCAAGGAGGATGCGATCGTGTTTTTTTTTGTCTTTTTCCTTTCTTCTTTTTTTCTTTCTTCTCCTTTTTTCTCTCCCGATGTTTTTTATTCGTCGTACACGTACGCTACATGCGTACGCATACATTGCACCGTGTTTGCTACAACTTATTTATTTATCTCTACAGTTTTCAATAGTTGATTAAGTCACACTGAGCGTAACGCGTTTCTCTACGCTTTTTGCCTGATTAAGAGGAACGTTTCAAACGAAACCCAACTAGAAAATACATCATCCGCTTTTGTTCAATTTTTCGGGTACGCTACCGTCGCGTCATATTTATTGCTTCGCTCTCCACACGCGCGCAGGGGGGTCAAGTGCTTGTTGCGAGAGTGAGCCTGTTCAAATAAAGTTTCTCTGTTATTTATGCGATATATATGTACGTACTGTCACCGGATCATACTTTTCCCGTAAAATCCCGACCTATGTACGAGTGTATCGATCGAGCCTTAAATCGAGAGGAAAAATCAAAGGAGTGGATAAACGACGAGTAGTAGTACTCTTTATCCCTTCGATGAAATTATTATTCTTATTTGATTCTATTTGCCGTAGCATATCATTATATAGCGACGATATTTGCGCTCGTTTATCTATCGAAATGATTAAAAGTATTTACGTAAAGTATATACGAGAAAAGAAAAGATAGAGAGAAATGGATAAGGCGTAGCGTATGTCGCAGGTCAAATTTTATTTTCAATTGAATCAATGTTCATTCGAGTACGATTCACCCGACCAAAAGTTATTTCACTATCGAGCAAGAGTCAATGAAAATACAAAAGCTCAGGGTAATTTTTAAACGAGCGTACACCGCCCTAGGCGGGTTTCCGCTATATTTTTTTTACTTTTCCTCTCTTTTTATTACCAGTATTCATAAATTCACCTCGATTGCGTACGCCTCCTGGCACTTTTTGTTTTTTCTTTTTTTTTTCCCCTCCTTTTTCTGTTTTTCTTTTTTTTTAACAAATAAATCAGAATAATAATAGCGGAGGAGAGAGAGAGATAGGGTGGAAGAGTAGTTACGTTTTATCTTTCGCAGTGATTCGGGGGGAAAAAACAAAAGCAAATTTTGTTCGGTGACGAGAAGGAACGAGAGAGAGAAACACATTGATCCGCTTCACTTTCCTTTGTTTATTTTATTCAGACAATGCGTTAGAACATGTCCTCTCGATCGAGAGAGTGAGAACCTCGCTAGGACTCGATTGCACGTCGACGTTTTGCTCTAACGGTTTCACGTCTAACGCAATCGAAATTGAAGTGCCTTCAAGGATCTTCTATTAAACTTGACCTTTGACGAGCTTTCAATCCCGTGTCTCGTAAATCGCACTGGATTCACTCGAAAAATCCTCTTTTCTTCTCTTTCCTTCTCTTCTCGTATCGATATTTTACTTTCAATACGCTATCGCATAACTTGCATAGTTACGAATTTCTTTTCACGATCTTTTCGGAATTCTCCAACTTTTCTCCTTTGTACACATACCATCCTTTCCCATAGAAAATTCCTTCTCTTTCTCTCGTGTATTTTCTTTAACCTTTCACATACTCGTGAGAGAGAAAGAGAAAGAGACAAAAAAGAAAGTATCGGACACGCCGTATCAATCCTTCCCATTGTTTCGCCGTATCTATCGTACTCGTAGGAGTATGTGTGTGTTGTGTGTGTGTGTGTGTGTGAGAGAGAGAGAGAGAGAGAGAGAGAAAGAGAAAGCGAGAGAAAGAAAAAAAAAAAGAGTTGGACAGAAGGCAGGAAGAAGGACGACTCCTCTCCGTAATTCGTAGATGATCGGGGATGATCGACGAAGCGCAGAAAGATAAGTAAAGTCAAAGAGAATGGAGATAAAAATATAAAAGGAGAGCTAGTGAACGAAGACAGAAAGAAACGGAGAAAAGAAAAGAAAAGATACGTGAAGTGGAAAGAGAGAAAAGAAGGATAAAAGGAAAAGCACAAAGCAGAGCGGAGCGGAGCAGAGCAGAGCAAAGGAAGGCAAAACAAAGCTGGGAAAAAGAAACAAAACAAAACAAAACAAAATAAAAGCAAAGGAAATGAAAAAAAAAACACAACAACAAAAAAAAAGGTAATGAATTCGGACTATGACGAGGAGGTCTCTCTTTCTGTCTTCTAGGCACGGCCGAGAACGACGCGGTTCAAGCCCTCCTCGCCAGATATCTGCAGAAACGTCTTCAAGGTACTCAGCTCTCGACGCTGCCGCCGCCGGCCGTCCTCTTCAACTCTCGTCATCAGGCAAAAGTCCGTCAAGCCGCGCAGAAAGACTCGACGAACAGCGACGGCTTAGCTCGCAATTCTCATCCTTCATCTAGCTACAAGGATAATAGGAAGCACAGAGAGGACTACGATGATGATTACGTGGACGATCTTCAAGGGTTCGAGGACAGCGATAGGAGCAGGACTAGAATCGATCTTCTTGCTGGTAAATCCTTCGTCTTCTTCATCTTCTTTTTCTTCTTCTTTCCGAATCAATCCAGCCATTTCTCTCTCTCTCTCTCTCTCTCTCTTATTACTACTATTATTAGTTTATTTTGTCTCGAAGAACATGGCGCTTTTTTCTCTCTTTCCTTTTTCCTCGTCGCGACAGGGAATTGGATGGAACTAGGCTGATAGATAGCCCGTAGAAGTCTTGGTAACGCGATAACGAGAGTATGCAAGAGGTAGTAGAGCAACAACGTCGACGTCAACGTCGAAGTCGTCGTCGACTCTTTCGACTACGAATTCGTAAGACGAGTCGAAGAGAAGCGAAACGCGGCGTCGATTTTCTACGCTCTAAATCTCCTTTCCTAACGTGTCTATCGGTCTCTTTGAATAAGATAGAGAAAGATGTAGAGGTACACGTCTGGGCGACCTTCTCGAACGTGTCCACTCGCATTGTTCCCTCCGTCAATATCGTTTTCTTTTTTCTTTTTTGCGAATCTATTTTCTCCGAGAAAAATCGTTCCAGTCCGTTCGGCTTAGGGAAAGGTATCGTGTCTATTACGCGTAATACATATATTTTTTTTAACGAAGTATACTCGCGAAAACAGAAGACAGTAATTTCGTTGTTGATCTCTTCCATTCGCTACCGACTCTGCGGGATATCATCCTACGAGAGATTGTGGTTGTCGTCTGCTTTTATCATCGAGTACACAGACATTCTCTCGTTCGAATAGAGGTGGTGGTTTATCGATCTGTGTTAGTGCTGCGCAATCCATCTCTCCTCCATCCCTCTATCTCTCTCTCATCCTCTTTTCTCAAAAAATCAACGTATACGAAACCTGTCAAAACTCCCTATTATTTCCTTAATCGCACAGAAAAGTTTTGATTAGATATTTTAATAAATCGAAAGTACCCGCCGTGTCGTCGTCATTCCATTTTCTATTACATCAGACGTGTACCTACGTATCTAGGAAAATCCCGCGTTCGCAGATGTCCTATTTCCGTCGCGCGTTTTCACTTCTGTCAGCGTCGTCGCGAACGTTTTAAACGATCACGGCCGGAGACGTACGTTTACCGGATCGACTTGCTGAAACTATAAACGTACGTACGCGATACGTATGTATTTAGGTACGTATGTATATTCTACGTGCAACGGATACGCACGACATGAGTTTGCTGTAACGTAATACGTAAAATATGCGGACAGAACGTGTGTGCGCGTGCGTCCATGTATATCTGTAAGCGAAAGCAGTCCGGCAATACTTCCCGTTGAAAGTACCACTATTCGCGAGTTTATTTTCTAGCGTTATAGATCGCACTGAAAATGTAACACGACGAGACAGAGACAAAGGGTCGTTCCAAACGATAGGTATTTGTTTTGATTTTGTAGAAACGATCGATAAATCTATAAAATATCGATGGCATATCGATGAGTTGAAAAAAAAAAAAAAGAAATAAAGAAAAAAAATAAAAGTTTTGGCCATCGAGTCGCGATTGTCGAGTCGCATTGGCGAGTTTATTCGAACCAATGCGCGGAGAAGGAAGGGTGGGGCCTTTCGTCGTTTGCGCGTCGCTGGTTGACGTCTTTTGATCTTCGATATTTTTGATTATTACACGAGTACCCTCTCGATCGACTCTTCGAATTCGTTATGCGAACGAAAGCTGTCAAGGATTTAATCGAGTACATAGGGCTTTGATATTCGACAGCTATTCAATATGCTATCGGCCAACCAATCCAATCGAGAATAGTCGCGTGACATGGAACATCCGAATCACGACGCATGCCATGCGTCCAATCCTTTTATTTCCTTTCTTTCTTTCCTCGAACGTTTTCTTTATTCTAATTCTCCCGCGTGTTTGTATCTCTCGCGTGGACATGGACGATCGGAAAATTTGTCACCGATATTCCTTTTCCTTTCTTTATTTTTTTTTTTCTTTTTTTTTTTTTGCCGATCACGTAACATCGATTTTTTTCATCGTATCGTACAAAGTATTGCATTTTGACGGAGGGTGAGGGGAGGGGGAAGAAGAAAAGAGTTTCACCAAAACTGCTACGAATCCGTTTGCAACATCCTTTTTCGCTCTCTTTTTTATCCAGCGTTCTCTGTTTGACTATCCAACGTGCCTCTAGATCAGAAATTGACAAACACTCTTGGGTATTTGCACGCGCTCACGGCGATACGAAGCGATAGGGGAGAAGAAAAGCAAGCTGAGAAAGTGAGCGAGACGGGCAATAAACGAAGAGAAAGAGTATAGAAAATAGAGAGAGAGAGAGAGAGAGAGAGAGAGAGAGAGAGAGAGGGTATTGAGTTTAAATTCTAAACGAGATAGAGTTCCCCGAAAGGAGGAATCTCTTGCAACGTTTTCAATATTCTCTTTCCTATAAATACAAAAGACCTAGGTAAATGTTAGAAAAATAAAGAAATTTCGTGACTCGAAGGAGATTCCTTTTATGCTTGCGGTTGGTTTTTTCTATAAACGTACCTTTCCGAGCACACGTGTTTCAATTATAACTCGGTGGATACGGTTTATGAGAAAGTTTGGCAGGAGCGTGTCCCGAGTAAATGTTTAAATCAAGTTTAATTTGGTAAACGTTCCGCGATACCCAAACCCAACGGGGTACGGGTTCGAGTACAACGTGAGTAATTTTAGCCGACAAACAGCGACTTTCAGCTCGAGAGTTTCCAAACTTCTGTTTGTCTTGACAACTTGCAAAAGCGAGAGAATGAAACCGAGAGAGAAAGAGAGAGAGAGAGAGAGAGAGAGAGGGATAGAAGAAGGAGGAGGAGGCATAGTTGAAGGAGGCAGTCGCAAGTGCGGCCTCGATATGTACGGTTCGTATAAATAAAACGAAGAGTACCGGTGGCTTAAAGTTTTAAGCGAAACTTTGGTGAAGGTTCCAATAGAGCAGGAAGAGGAGGAGGAGGAGAAGATCGAGAAAAGGGGGAGAGGGGGGAAAAGGGAAAGGTTCAGTCTCGCCGAGCATAATCACCCTTCTTGCGCGAACTATGACCGAGATTGTGAATGTGTCTTCAAGGAGGACATTCCTGTCGATGTGTGTGTGTGTGTTTGTGTATGCCCTACGCGTTCTAGCACGATGACATAATTCACAAACGTCCTACATGGCGTTTGGCGAAAGCATCAGTGCCGAGGATAGAAGGAAGGCCTCTTTGCTCTTGCTGGCTCCCACTTGATAATCCTGAAGCTCTGGATATGCAACCACGGATGTTGTTCCCGAGATGGTACTGATGGTAATGGTGTTGGATGCATATGCGAAGAGACCTTGCAAAGCATTAACGTGTTCGTCTCTTCGTGCTACCCATCGTGTGTCCTTGTCAGAAGCTCTATTCGAGCATCCTCTCTCTCCCTCTCTCTCGGTTTCTCTCCCATCTTACGAACGCTCGAGTACCTCGTGGAAATAATTAATGGTTATGGTATTCCGTGTATGGCTATTAAACGTACATATGTATGCTACGTGGCATGTTCGCGATATAGTCACTAATCGTTCTAATCGTTGAGAGAAATTTTATCTTTCATCCGTTAAAGTACCTTTTCGTTCTTATCGTGCCTCTTAGTAAAAGTAGTAATATCGTTGGTATATGTATATACCGTTATAGGAGCATATTGGTGTATATATCTATATGACTATTTGCATCGTCTTTTCTACGATAAAATGAGATCCTACCTATCTTGCTTAAAAATCGATGCGCATCGTCAAAGTCGATCTTCCAATGGTGCCATACTTGAAGTAGATATAAATTATTCGCGGCTGCTTTTCTATTCCTGTAATTTGTGTCGATTTTAAATGTAAAAGAATATAACGTAAATTAGTCTGACGGCAGCTTTTCTTCCTCCTTTGTTTTTCCATTTGTTTTCTCCTCGTTCTTTTACTTTTTCTTTTATTTTCTCGTTCACCGATAAAGCGAAACTCGTCAGTTAGATTTAATATCATTGATGAGCGTCATTTAATAAAATCCATCGTTCGTTTGACATTTAGAAAAAGAATGTTGTAAAATCCTTTTACGTTGTAGACGGCGCCCATGCCTGTCATTTATCATATTTAATCTTCGTATATTTCTGTATAACGTATGATTACGTATATAAAAATTTGTACGTTCGACTCTTCGTCAATGGAAAGTTCCTTATAAAAGACGAAATTTTACATCTTCATGAATAAATACAATATTGTATTTTATTTATCCGATGCCCGGATCAAAGTCGTGAAAAAAGAAGTGGTCCCATTGAGTCGACATAAAAACCATGACCGTGCATCTTAAATATAAATATTCACGATTTCCAATCGGGAAGGATAAATCCGGAGAGATGTGAGCTAAAATGAATCCAGTTTACTTTGCCAAGGACGGTTGCTCGAACTGAACTCGGAGAAAGTGGTTCCGTTGGATCGTGCGTGCGAAGCCTCCCACTACTCTTTTCCTCCCCCCTTTCTCCCTTTCGGACAGGTATATTATACGTACCTTTGCTAAATAGTTTATTACCGCTTAATTCTCTTCGTTACGAGAACATTATTGTAGGTATATCGGGGGAATAAATTTTAGAGAAGACTCTCTCAGCGATGATAAATAATCGGATTCATTTAACGGTGCATCTCTATAAAAATAAATGGAGAATGGATGAGAATGGAATGTTCGTTCGATAAAACATCGTACCTGATAACGACTCTCGACTCTTGCTTTGTTCCTTTTTCGAAAAATTTCTATCGAAGACGCTTTTCTTTCTTTTTTTTTTTTTTTTTTTTTTTTTTTTTTTTTTTTTTTTTTTTTTTTTTTTTTTTGCAGTTATCAAAGAAAAGAGAACGATCTCTCGAGTTCACCGAATCGACGAATTTATTAATTAGCTGTCATCACTAGACAAAGATTGTTGAATTTTTCGAATGTCCTCGTTAACGAGAACCAAACTTTCTTTTTACCGTATTCGTTCGTTTTTAAATCAAAAATCAGTATTTCTCGCTAACATAACTTAAATGAAACTTAATGATTAGAG